GTACAGCAGATAGATAGATAGATAGATAGATAGATAGATAGATAGATAGATCGAACACAACATCACACTGAACTGAAGAGATCATAACCATATCTGCCAAGCCCCAACTGGTTTAATACAATCAATCAATGAAGAAAAAGAATTTTAAAATCATAAGGATTCTAATCATTTGCTTTTTAAGTCTAATCCCCCCTGCCCCCATAATCATGCAATATTTATGTTAACCTCCAGCCAGGGATGCAATGTAATACCACATGCCTTTGTAACATGGGTGCTCATAGGGTGTGTGTGTGTGTGTGTCAAAATCTGCAAGAGGGGGTGTGTGGCAATGTGTCTGCACATACAAAAAGGACAAGCCTTTGATTGTGACATTGCACCCGCCTTTTTTAGATTTTGATCCCCTCCCAAAGACGCCATTGGTTTGTAACCATTTGCAGCAGGCCATTTTGCTCTAAACATGCACTGTTTGTTTTCAAACAAGCAACATCAGCACTAGAAATGGAGGAATAGTACATTCTCACCCTCCCCTCTTCTACTCATGATGGATTTGTGTACAAAAAACACTAATCTCTCTGACTCTGTAACTAGGGGTGAAGAATTCTTCCTTTCCCAGTGGCAAAATACTATGGTTGGAGCGCTTGGAAAACACTGTTTCCAAAACAGAGCAATCCCTTGCAAAAGACAAGTAAAAACAAATCTTGATTTGTGTGGGGGGGGGAGAGGGGGGAGTCTGGCTTAGACTCTTTAAGGAGAGTAGAAACGTCCTTGTTCCTTTTCCTGGACAGGATGTGGCCTGAAAATATTACAGGATTTCGTGGCTGCTGTCTTTTAAAACTCTCTATATGAGCTTTTCTCCTCACCATAGCCATTCCTAAGTGGTGGGAGACTCTAAAAACTGACTAATGTAAGGTGGTGGGGGCGGGGAGTGGGGGGAAGGACTGACAGAAATTGGAGATTTCATTGTACATGTGCTATGGAACTACTTCAGGAAGTCAGATTCTGACTGAGTGATAGAAAAATCTTCCTAACAGTTAAGAACAGTGGAACCAATTATATGCTTTTATTCAGATTCAGAGTATTCAGATTTATTGGATAATGGCCTAATTGCTCCTTCAAACTCTAGAATTTGAACATTCGTGGGTAACACCGAATACAAATATTTTTGGTTTCTAAATTAGGCTAAAGCGCTTTCCTCCTTCTCTTGGACATTTTAAGCTTGATTGTTTCATCTTATATCTAGTCTCTGCTTATTAATAATTCTTTTTATTCCGAACATCTAGGTTTAATTTTTGTGAACCACATGGAAAGTAATGCAAACCAAAAGACATTCTATCATAAATAAGGTAGTGGCAATTAGGTGTACTGGGTTATATCAGTATTTCCCACACAGGCACATGAAGTGTGAATATCTTAAGTGTCTATAAACATCCAATTCACAATTAGACTGGTCTGCCAAACACACAGTGTTTAAACATCTTATATATTTATTGTCAGAAACTTCAGCACTAGCAGACAGGAAGCATCAGTGAAACTGACAACAGTTCACATAGGGAATAATAAATGGTTACGGTTTGGAGGTCTGTTTTAACTTGGCTTATATATACTCTTTCATCATAAGCCTAAACTTGTCCCCTTACAGAACACAAATTCCCGTTATTTCCTCTAAGAGAAATCCTATCTCTTGGGTCTGTAGGATTCTTTAATGTCTGCCAGAAAGAACCGTAGATCAGAGGAGGGCAAGAATGGTCAGGCCAGGTCTATATGCCACCCAACAGAGTCACATCCTCCTGCAGTCCACAGGCACAGCCACTTAGTTGACTACCACAAAAATCTATTCTGTGTGTTCTAAACCATTATGCTATAGGATTCTTCAACTTCAAAGTGCCTCATACCATAAATGCCTGTAGCCAACAAAGATGCCATTATGTGATGTTAATGCCATAAAAATGGCCACAGCAATGAATCTTGGTTAAAGTATTTATTCAGATTCCAATGGATAAAAACAGATATCTATTACAATATTAGGCAATACCTGTAGCATCGAATATGACTGGCTGACAGTTTTGATTGGAATTCCAGTTACACTTAAACACCTGGCCTCCTTCCACGATCCCAGGCTGAGTAGTGTTGGCCTTTGGAGCACCAACAAGGAGAAACATCCTGCACGAAAAAACAATGGGAGAGAAATCTGATCATTTTACTTGAAACAGGCTAATATAACAGGTACCTCATGTAAATGCAGTAATAAGAGCAAAAAGAGGAGGAAAGCAAATGTAATGTAAGGGCCAAGACATTAAGGGCCAGATTTATACCAGTGACTTAGAATTTTTGATGGCCTATTTTCCTCCACCCAAACAGATTTGCTGCATACATGACTTCATCTCCAGTTGATCTATCAAGTCAGTGTAATTCACCAGCTGCATCTGAGAACCCAGCCCAAGAGAGATTTGTTAAATATCCTGTTTTGCTGCTTGACCAAGGGCTAAACTAGATGCTCAGATAAATTACATATCACTATTTCCTTTAATTTTTCTGGGAAAGGCTTGTGATACTCATCTGATTGGGACCCTCATGGGCAGGGTAGGAGACCCTGGTCCCTCTTCTTAGCCTCCTCCTCTTCTTTTTAAACTTCATTTCTCTCCTGAGGAGTTTGGATATATCAGAACTGCAGTTTTGTCCCATAAGACTTTCTGTGCCACTATCAGTATGACATCAAGAAGCAGGAATTCAGTAGTTGTTAGAAAGCATAACTAAGATGGCCACTTATACTTTGCCCCCCCCCCACCTCTGAAATACATCACCCCAAAAAAGAGGACAAAAGGTGAGAGAAGAGAATGGTAGGTTTTAGACATCCAATGCATATGACAAGAATACTGGTCAACCAATCCAGATGCAACATGCAAATTTTTAAAAAAACTATGCAGATTACCCCTTCCATATTGGAATGCTAGAATACCTAGTAACTGCAACTACCTAGATACCACAGTGAGTAATAAATGGCTAGGATTTGGGTGGTCTTGCTTTGTGCATGATCAGATGCTAAATGTTGATATGTAGGTATAAACAGATATAGGTATAAAGCCCCTCTTCCTCTTACATGACATCCTAAGCAAATCATAAGTGATTGATCTTTCCAATGCAACTTTTGGCTCAGTTGTGACTAATATAGTACTTGTTTGCTTTCCAAACAAATGGAAATTAACTCCCAGAAGTCTTAGCACTAGCCATGCTGGCTAGGAAATAATAGGAACTCAAACTGACACCATGTACCTGGAGAGGGACCAGGTTGGAAAATGCTGGCTTAGAATCAAATTAAGCAAAAATAGCCCTTAGTTACACCATTGTGCCAAACAGCAATCTAGTAAATTGAGCTGCAAGACTGTGAAAGAAAAAAGGCACCAAGGACAACACTACCTGACCATTGGGTCGTTTGGGAAAACAAAATGTTTCCAGGAACCATATTTGAGTAAGCAACTGGTATCAGCTTAAGTAATGTAGCCTCGTGAGAACCAAATATTACTGAATTTGACATATCCGAGTTGTCTAGCCTTCTCACCCAGGAAATACACTTAAGCTCAAACAAAAATAAAATAAATAGCCCCAGGCACCTTTTAGCTTAAACCATGCTCTTTGTGCTAAAGGAAAGGTTCTCTGGTATTCCCCTATCAAATATTACATCTGTAAGGCATTAGGTACATTTTCCTTAATTCATATCACTGCCCATAATATTCCATAGAAACTAATATTCCAACCATTAGGTCACAAATATTTCTAATATATTTTTAATATTTTGATTTGACAAATGCAGGTCATAACAGGATTTGACAGTTTAAAATATAAAAATTTAAAAAAGGAAATTTGTGCCTTTAAGTCAATTTTGACTTCTGGTGACTGCCCGGACAAATTCCTTCTTCCTAGGGCTGAGAGAGAATGGGCCCAAAGTCACTCAGCTGGCTTTGTGCCTAAGGTAAGACTAGAACTCATAATGCCCGGGTTTCTAGAGGATCATATAAATGTGACTGTGCAACAAAAGCTAAAATTTTCAGATAATATTCTCTTGAATTACATACCTAGTACATGGAATTTGACATCCAGACAATGTAAACGGATTCTCTGTGCCCTTGCTTTGGCCAAAAGACTGATATTGCAACATTGGAAAGATAAATGTATGGCCCCATTCACTCAATGGATTGAAGACCTGACTACACTTGCCACCGATGAGTGGATTGCCTATAGACGTAGACTTTGTATGGACAAATATAATGAAACATGGGAATCATTTATACAAAATACAGCAGGTTAGGAAAAAGCATGATAGTTATATAATTATATTAGAAATACACACACACACACACACACTCTTGCATAATATTTGCATTAGATAAATATAGAATTGTAACTGTTTGTTGCAATAACATATTATTTATCAAATTTGTCACCACCCATCTCGTTGAACGACTCTATATTATACTTACATTTTTTCTTTTTTATTATTTTTTCTGTTGTATTATTTCCACATATTTTTAAGCACTTGTTATATAATTTTTGTTTTTGATAATATATGTATCTTTGTGTTTTATTCTTTTTTTTCCTTTTTGCTTTTGTTATTATTATAAAAGAAAAAAATAGTGCCTGGCTTCTACTCTGATGCTTTAACTACTGGGTCTTAAAACTGGGTCTTAAAAAAAAAAGAGCAAACAAGCAGCCAAAATACATGTCCTATCCCCATTCTAATATATGCAATGCCAGGAAACAAATGTAAATTACTCAACATATGCTTTACCCAACATAGTACAGTATGTCATGTCAGAATATTCTGCCAAGGGACAATAATGCAGGCCAACCCAAATGTTTAGGACTGGAGTGCTGCAAGCTGATGCTGAAGGATAAATCAGAGACTGTGGCATATATCAATATAAGAGGACCATATTTTCAACATGAATGAGGTTCTTTCCTTTTCTCAAGAATCTGAAGGAAGACATTTCACTGGCACCATTTCTTTTATTGTTGATGAAAATGGCATCCACATCGGTGCCATTTTCACTTGTCCTATTTTTTTTTCTTTACTATATTTTAATTTAAGACATTTTTATCCATCCTTTATGAACCTGGAACAGCTTATAAATATACATTTATTCCTCACTATTCCAGAAAGATTTTTAAAGAGTTTTTGAATATATATCCTTCCTCTGCCATGAATTAGAATAATGATATCCTACCACCATTCATTCAGCGCCATCATAACTTCGAGCAGTCGCTGGATGAATGGCCATTAAGTCCAGGACCACCTCTATTAAAACCTAAAAAAAAAAGGAAAAAAAAACACAATAAAACAAAAGAGATCAATTCAATCAGTGTTTCTTAAACCTTTTTCTCCCAGGATCCCTTTCCACTTTTAAAAATTGTGGGGGACCCCCAAAGAACTTTTGTTTGAATGGGTTATATTTATTGACATTTACCATATTAAAAATTAAAATTGACGCATTTGCTGCTG